AAAAAAAACAGAGGAAGAGGACTGAGACAGTGAGGCAGGGTAGTGGGCTGGCCTCCTGGCACCCAGAGGCAGAGTCTAAGGGCTCCAGAGACATGGCCGCAGGCTGAGGAGAGGTGTTGCTGTAGACCAATGACTGTATCTTTAATTTTCTGATCCTAGCTTGTGGTCACCTGGTAACTTTCCAAATAAACCTGCTTAATCGGGAATATGGTCTATGAGTTCTCTGTGAACATTGCAACGGATGACCGAACCCAACAGAAAAGCAAGAAGAACAGGTCAGGTGTCAAGTACAAACGACTGAGGACGGAGGGTGGAGGCATGGCTGATCTCTGTCTTATAGCAATAGGCCTTGAGCTGGTGAAGAGTTCGAGTCTCCTTCTCCCTTGTGTAGCCGGGGAATGGAGGCCTTTACACCATTCTCAGTGGAAGCAATGAGACAAATCCAGAGTAGAATGTTGTACAGAACGAATCCAGTCTTTCAACAAGTTACTGGCATGAAATTACAAGGGGACAGAGGTAACACAGAACCGCTCCAATTCACAACTGACTTTAGAGGTGGTCCATCTCTGTGAATATGAGGGAGCATTAAAAAGTTCAAGAAAAAAGTCCTCTCATTTCAACCCCATTTTTCCATGAACTTTTTTTGAAGGCCCCTTGTATACTAGAAGGCATTAAATTGTACGCTTTACCTGGGTGAACTGTGATGGGTATACTGACAACTCATTGTAATCTTCTCTCTGGTTTTATCTATCTTTGACATTTCTCAAAATATGGAATTTAGAGAGGGGGAGAAACAAAAGTAATTACCCTTTATTTTCAGAATCGCGAGCCACCATTACAAATGTTGCATCCAAAACAGGGATATACTCCACGTCATGTAGCTAAAGAATAAAACAATGAAAATGCAGCTGTAAAAAAGGCATGGACTGGGATGACTTACAAGTCAACAGGTATGCATGCTTTCAGTAACCCTGAAACTTAGAAAAGTGAAGTGCATTTATGAGCT